AAGGCATTTTTAGAAGTGGCAAGATCTCCTATGTTTACCATGAATCTACCAAAACCTCACTGGGGATGTCATTCTAGTAGTTTTCTATCTCATCAATCAAATGCTACTTAAAACTCTCAGTCCTTTGTAAGCTTTACAACAACAACAACAACATACCCAGAATTATCCCACACCGTGGGGTCTGGGGAGGGTAGTGCGTACGCAGACCTTACCCTTAGCTTGTGAGGATAGAGAGGTTGTTTCCAATAGACCCTCGGCTCAGGAAAGCATAAGCACCACATTAATGAAAATATAGACAAGAAGGGACAGTACCAAAAAGCCATATAAAAGCAGAATAAAAACAACAAGATAGCAAGGTGATCAACAATGAAGGAAACAACGGTTAGTCATAAAAACCTACTACCAACAGAAAGCGAAACTGCGTGCCAATACTACTGTTATGAATACTCTAGACTACCTACTCTACTTCCCTAATCCTCGACCTCCATACCTTCCTATCAAGGATCATGTCCTCGGTCAGCTGAAGTTGCGTCATGTCTTGCCTAATCACCTCTCCCCACCTCTTCTTTGGCCTACCTCTACCTCTCCGTAGGCCCTCCAATGTTCAACCTCTCACACCTCCTCACTGGGGCGTCTTGTGCTCCTCTTCCTCACATGACCAAACCACCTAAGCCGCGCTTCCCGCATCTTGTCCTCAATAGGGGCCACACCCACCTTGTCGCGAATAACCTCATTTCTGATCTTATCTAACCTGGTGTGCCCGCACATCCATCTCAACATCCTCATCTCTGCTACCTTTATCTTCTGGACATGAGCGATCTTGACTGGCCAACACTCAGCCCCATACAACATCGTTGGTCTGACCACCACTCTGTAGAACTTACCCTTAAGTTTCGGTGGTACCTTCTTGTCACACAAAACACCGGAAGCGAGTCTCAATTTCATCCATCCCGCCCCAATACGATGTGTGACATCTTCATCAATCTTTCTATCCCCCTGAATAATAGACCCAAAGTACTTAAAACTCCCTCTCTTAGGGATGACCTGCGAGTCCAACCTCACCTCCCCTTCCCCTCCTTGAGTGTCGCCACTAAACTTACACTCCAAGTATTCTGTCTTGGTCCTGCTCAACTTGAAACCTTTAGATTCCAGGGTCTGCCTCTAATTGGACGTTCACACCGTCTCGCGTCTCGTCAATCAATACAATATCATCTGCAAATAGCATGCACCACGGCACCTCCCCTTGGATGTGGCGCGTCAGTACGTCCATCACCAGAGCAAACAAAAAAGGGCTGAGTACCGACCCCTGATGCAACCCCATCATAACCGGAAAATGGTCTGAGTCCCCACCCATCGTCCTCACACGGGTCTTTACTCCATCATACATGTCCTTAATCAACCTAACGTAGGCAACAGGTCTCTAGCCTCCAAACATCTCCACAAAACCTCCCTCGGAACTTTATCGTACGCCTTTTCTAAGTCGATGAACACCATATGCAAGTCCTTCTTTCTCTCCCTATACTGCTCCATCAATCTCCTAACAAGGTATCCGGCTTCTGTAGTCGAACTCCCCGGTATAAACCCAAACTGGTTCTCGAAAATAGACATACTCCCCCCCACCCTTAGCTTTACCACTCTCTCCCATACTTTCATTATATGGCTAAGCAGCTTGATGCCCCGATAGTTATTACAATTTTGGATATTACCCTTATTCTTGTATACAGGAACCATTGTGCTCCACCTCCACTCTTCGGGCATCTTTTTCGTTCTAAAAATAACATTAAATAACCTAGTGAGCCACTCCAAGCCTGCCTTGCTCGCACTCTTCCAAAACTCCACCGGGATTTCATCTGACCCAGTCGCTTTGCCCCTGCTCATCTTACGCATAGCCCCCTCAACTTCATCAACTCTAATCTGCCTAAAATACCCAAAGTCACAACGACTCCCGGAGAGTTCCAAATCACCCAGTACAATGCTCTTGTCCCCCTCATCTTTGCCCCTGCTCCACCGGGATTTCATCCGGCCCGGTCGCTTTGCCCCTGCTCATCTTACGCATAGCCCCCTCAACTTCATCAACTCTAATCTGCCTAAAATACCCAAAGTCACAACGACTCCCGAAGAGTTCCAAATCACCCAGTACAATGCTCTTGTCCCCCTCCTCGTTCAAGAAACTATGAAAGTAGGTCTGCCATCTCCGACGGATAAGCCCCTCATCCAACAAAACTCTACCTTCTTCGTCCTTGATGCACTTCACTTGGTCCAAGTCACGCGCCTTCCTTTCGCGCGCCTTGGCTAACCTGAACAACCTCTTATCCCCACCTCGGCCCTCAAGTTCCTCATACAAACAACTAAAAGCTGCAGTCTCGGCCGCCGTAACTGCTAGCTTTGCCTCTTTCTTAGCCAACTTATAATGCTTCCTATTCGCCCTCTTCTCCTCCTCGTCTATACTTTCCACTAGCTTCAGATACGCTGCTTTCTTGATTTCCACTTTTCCTTGCACCTTTCCATTCCACCACGAGTCTCCCTTGTGACCACCAGAGTAACCCTTTGAGACCCCTAATACCCCTCTCGCGGCTTCCCTAATGCATTGCGCAGTCGTGCTCCACATAGCGCTTGCGTCCCCACTACTCCTCCAAGCCCCCATAGTCACCGGCTTGACCCCCAAGTCCTGCGCTTTAGCTTCCGTCAAGGCTCCCTACTTGATCCTATGTTGGCTAATATCGCCCTCTTCCTCCTCTTCCACGTGATCTCAAGGTCCATGACCAGGAGCCTATGAAAGGTCGAGAGGTTCTCACTCGGAATGACCTTGCAATCCGTGCAAAGACCTCTATCAGACTTCTTGCAGAGTAAATAATCAATCTAAGTCTCGGCCACCGAACTCCGGAAGGTGACCAAGTGCTCCCTCTTCTTCGGGAAACTCGAGTTTGCTTAAAGAGTAAGAATAATTATATTGTTCCTCCAAAGGTGTTTGGGTGTATCTACTTTGTTCACACTAGGTCTGGAAAACTTGATCCTAAAGCTCTTAAGTGTGTCTTTATTAGGTATTCTCCAACACAAAAAGGGAACAAATGCTATCATCCTACCTCTAGGAGATCCTTTGTCAGCATAGATGTTATCTTTCGAGAATCTGAGTCCTATTTCAGTGTTACACCATTACCTCTTCAAGGGGAGAGAAATAAGACAAAAGAGATGATTCTCCCAAGTTCCACTGCGAAACTGTTGAAACCACCACTGAGGAAAATGAAATTGGAGAACAAATCTAAGGGGAGACTACTAGGCGTTTGGATAGACCTTATCTGAAAACTTAAGGAGAAATAGAGCAGAAGAAATCATCATGCAATCTACTGAAATTGAACCCTCTTCTACTGGTGAGTTATCTACATTTCCTAATGAGTTAGATTTACCTATTGCACACAGAACAGAAATCAGATCTTGCACCAAACACACTTTACCTAACTTTGTCTTCTATAATTCTTTTGTCTCCCTCCTATAATAGAATTTTTGCCTTGTCTATTTCTTCTGTGTCTATTCCCCAAAATTGGAGGGAAGCTTTTGCAAATCCTAAATAGAAGCAAGTTATGATTGAAGAAATGAAGGCCTTGTAAAAGAATAAGACTTGGGAACTTGTCTCTTCACCACCAGATAAGAAGTTGGTTGATTGCAAATGAGTCTTCATTGTGAAACACAAAGTTGATGGGTCGATTGAAAGATTCAAAGCAAGATTGGTGGCTACGGGATTCACTCGGACTTACGTAGTGGATTATCAAGAGACATTTTCTCTCGTGGCTAAAATAAGTACTATTAGAATTCTTTTGTCTTGTGCAGCTAATCTTAATTGGGACGTACAACAGTTTGATGTAAAGAATACATTTCTTCGGGGAGACTTAGAAGAAGAGGTGTATATGGATACTCCTCCTGGATTTGACATAGAAAGGTGTGCAGACTAAAGAAATCCTTGTACGGATCGAAGCAATCCCCTAGAGCATGATTTGACAGATTCTGCAAAGTGATAATCTCCTACGGTTATCAACAAAGAAATGTTGATCACACCCTCTTCATAAGACATCAAAAGGGTAAACTCACTCTTCTCTTCTCAGTTTATGTGACAAGAGATGACAAAAAAAGAGATGACCCGATTGAAGAAGTTATTGGCATAGGAATTTGAGATCAGGGATCTAAGAAAATTGGAATACTTCTTGGGAATTGAGGTTGCTAAATCAAAAAGAGAAATTTTTATCTCTCAAAGAAAGTATATTCTGAATCTCTTGAAAGAAACCGGTATAACATGTTGCAGACCGACAAAATCGCCCATTGAAAGCAATCGTAAGTTACAAACAGGAGTTGGAGAGTCAGCTGATAAGGAGAGATATAAGAGGTTGGTTAGAAGACTCATTTATCCCTCACACTAGACCAGACATAACATATTCTGTCAGTTTGGTGAGTTAGTTCATGCATGATCCATGAGATCCTCATATGCAAGTTGCTTTCACATTTTGCGGTGTCTGCTTTTCTCCAAACATGGCCACTTCCGGGTTCCCATGTTAGGCATTCTATAGATGGGGATTCTAACACCAAAAGGGACATTGCCTCAAAATGGACTTCAAGAGGGATAAGCATAGTGGAAGTTTGATTTTAGGCTTTTGGAGGTCAAATGTAGCTATCCTCTGGCAAAACCAGGACAAATGTGTGCAAATTCAATGGCCAAGCAGAGTTAGATATGATATTATCACCCTAGATTTATAACATAAATATAGCAATACAAAATATAAATTTGATATAAAGCCAATCTTAGAAAGAAATAATTTGATAACAAGAACTGAAATAGAAAAATAACATAAAACCGCTGGGAGAAATGGCAGAAAATACAGAGGCAAATCTTGATCTTCAAAGTTATAAATATAAAGCCCATACAACTAACACTATCTGCTATGGTTATGATGGCTATAAAAACAACCAGAATATTTAAAGCAAAATATTTAAGATACAACGATCTTATTCACCTTTCCCAGTTTGCATAATGTCTTTGGTTCCTGTCATCAGGTGTGCTAAGTATTTCACTCTAGAAGTGTCATTTGTAAACAGTGATCTCCTCACTGAAGCCAGCCGGATTAAACACTCCAATGCCTGAACAAAATTAAACTTGTTACACTAGTCAATTTACTGCTACAAGATTGGGAAATTGAATTGTGGACTGAAAAGAGAATCTTGATAGTAGTTTAGCAACTCGACTTTATTGTTCAAGTCACCTGTCACATGAGTTTAGTAGTAAACCATTACAAGAAAAAAGATGAGACATACATATCATTAATTAAGCCTGTGAACAAGTGAAATTCTTAGCAAACCCATTTTCTTTTGGTATTGATCAAAGGAGTGATTTCCAAAACAGTTCAACAATCATTAAGGATTAAAATGATAATTTGCTTAAAAAGCTTAACACAACAACAATAGCAACACCACTACGGCATTTACATGTTTCCAGCAGAACTAAAAGAATTAGTGGTTGCCGCAAAGGGACATGCACAGTCAAAGTTTACTTTTTCCAAAGCAGAGTAACAAAATTAGCTCCTGAAAAAGTTCAAAGTCCCAAACCAAGAGCCCTTTTGCTTCACAAATTTATGCAAATAGAAGCCAATCACATATTAAGCATCAGTGCTCTAACTTCCTGACATATACATAAGAGAGAGAGAGAGAGAGAGAGAGAGTAAACAGTAACAGTAACTATTAATTATAACAATAAATCAAAAAAATAAAATAGTTCACGTATTTAAAATGTTCTCAACAATCAAACAAACTAAACATAATCATGTAGGCCATTATAGACTAGCAACTGGAGATTTGATAACAGAATACTTTTATCATGGTTTCAGAGCAAGCTAAATAATTATGACAACATTGAAGCAAAAATACACTTGAAGGCACCGGAAACAGTATGATACTGACCTCCTTTGAAATGTTAGGCTTATTGATCTCATAATAGTCAAAAAAAATCTGCACCGTGGATGAGTCCTCCAGGACTTGCTTCCACGAAGATGGGATCTGCAACAATGTTAAGTGAGCAATATGATATTTGCAGATAGGTTAGACAGCTTGATAAATGCATGTTACAGAAGATAAAAACACCTGAATTGTGCTAAAATCGTCCGAACTTTCATCAACCGTTGTTCCCATAAAGTCGAATGATAAACATTTTAGTGACAGAGCAAGAGCCAGTTCTTGTAGTTTGCTGCTAACCGCATTCTCAGAAATTGTAACTGTATATTAACAATAAGCAACAATAGTGAGATAAGTAAATTAAAGAGATTTATACACCACGTGGCAGCTAAAAAATAAATAAATCAAACTGGCCCCATTTTTTACAAACTACCCGGTTTGAACTCTCTAGACATTTTAATATCAAATCCCAGCCAAACCCACCAGATAAAACCCATTAAGCCCTATTCCCACCCATTGGACAAAGGACGAAAGCAAAGTCACACAAATAGTGACCTCACGTGATATCTTTTCCCAAAGCTAACTTTTTCATCTCACTTCATTTCTCCTTCCTTCCTCTCATAACCCAGCACCATTTTCAGCTACCGCTTCTCTTTTCTCCTATTTCTTCTTCTTCATTCTTTCTTTCTCTTAGCTAAAATGTTATAAATATTTTACAACTACTCCCTCCTTTTCAATTAAAATGACACACTTTCCTTGTTAATCCGTACCAAAAAGAATGACACATTTCTATAATTGAAAATAATTCAACTTTAAAATTTTCATTTTACCCATTCTACCCTTAATGAGAAGCTTTTATAACCACACAAATGTCATGGCCCTACAAAGCTTTTACCCAAGCTTTTAAGACCACAAATTTCAAAAGTCTCCCTCTTTTCTATTAAACTCCGTAGCGAGTCAAACTACCTCATCTAAATTGAAATGGAGGGAGTACTATTTTTCTTTTTTGTAAGATCTATCATGAGTCTTTTTTTTTTCAGATCTGAAGTTGATTTTGTGGGTGAGCCATGGTAGTTAATCTTATGCAATTTCATCCTTTTCCTTTTTTTTTCAATAGATTTGATCAATCAAATTTTTTTTTTTAAAAACACATTTCAGATTCAAGTGTTTTGATTTTTGTGAAAAAATTTATGTTTTTCTTCTTTTGTAAATCGGACATGGCACTACTTCAGCTTACCGAGCACATGACCCTCGACAAGAAGGTGTAGAGGTCGAGAATTAAAGTTGTGGGTTGACAGGTAGTCGAGAGTTTCTCCTTGTCTTACCAGTAGTATTAGCACTAGTCTTGCTTTTTCCTATTCCTAGTTCCTTGTTATTACACGGCGTGTCACTCTCACCTGTAGTACTGGCACCATTCTTGCATTTTTCGTATTCCTAGATCTTTTTATTACACACTTTGCCATTTGCTTCCGTTGCCTATTATCTGTTGTTGTTATTATCTGTTTATTGCTTCTTTTTCACTGTTCTGGAGCTAAGGGTCTACCGGAAACAGCCTCTCTACCTTCTTAAGTTAGAGGTAAGATTTGCGCATACTTTACCCTCCCCAGACCACACTTGTGGGATCCCGCTGGGTTTGTCATTGTTGTTGTTGTCTTCTGCTGTAAATCATCGATTTCTACTTAAATTGGACTAATATTTCTGGTTCAAGCCTTTTGAGTGATCCTGGGAAGGACAAATCGTTTGAGATCTCATGGGTTCAAATTGTTCGCGGGGAGGAATGCTGGGGTTTTACTCTTTTCATAGGCAAGTCATTTTTGGCTAGAAGGTGTTGGATAAATTATAGGGCTAGCGGCTGTTATACTTTTTTGCCAAGCGGCCAACTTTGTCAAAATCCCTAAATTAAATACACATAGCAACGTCAAATATCAGAATTACGACTGTATCTGATGAAGCATTACCGTCATTTTTCAGCTGGGCCATTGATGTCAAGGATATTTGGAATACTTGAAGAAGTGATTGATCTCTGTAGGAGCAAGCCACCCTACGATGCTGCGCTGATGGCAATCCAGGACTAGGCTGGAAACAAGAAAATGTATAGCTGTATGAACGGGCTGATTAAAAGAACCTAAATCAATTTATAAGGTTAATCTATCCATTATTAGGTCCATATCAGACCGCTTGGAATCAGAAGAAATAGTACCTAGCTATAAAATTGCAAAATTAGCAACAAAAAATACACTCTTCAACTCATTATACTAAAGTAAATTCCAGTATAATGAACTCAAGAGTTGCCTGAATTAAACCAGGAATTAAACCAGGAGCTGGACTGAAAAGATAACAGTTAGTAGGATACAACCATGTAATTTGACAGCAAGAGGAAGAATAATTTAATACTATATTGATGTCAAAATCTAGGGACTGTCACATGTTTTAACGTATCAGATTGCAAATGAATCACTGTAAGAAAGTCGCAAGAATAATGAATATTTTTTAAGTACATGCACAACCCATTAGGAGAATAAGGCACACTAAATGAAAGGATAAAACACAACATTTTAGGACATATTTCAACAACTCCCGCAGTTGAAACATCGCATGGTATCTCCTTTACTATTTCCCTTTTTGGATTTCATTCACATCGTTTTGGAAAGTCATAAAAGAACTAAGCCTTATGAAAAGACTAACCTGATTCATCTCTGACACGAGTTGATTCAATATCTTCAAACCAATTGCATAACGAGATGCTGTCTGAGGCATACATCATACATCACGAAAAACAAACAATTAGAGATTCATTTGCCAAATTGGCAAATACACTGCTGCAAGATATAGCAAACTTACAGAAAAGAAGGGAAAATAAACACGGGAGTGGGATCAAATGGCAAGATAAAGGGATCCTTTGGACTATCAATGAAAGGTCTGGTATTGATATTTGGAATTCCAGATGGATCCCCAACACTCCATGTCTAAGAAATTCCATTCAAGGGCCTCTCAATATGACCGACCACTATCTAAAAAATTAGAGAAGTAACGCAATTTTTCTAACTTGTCTTTTGACCTTCCCTGTTGTATTATTGATAATATTAGCACTTTAAATCTCTCCCAACACGCTACTACTCCCGACGTCCCTATTTTGGTCCCTTAGTAGCAATGGCAGGTTTAGTATAAAATCATGTTACACTCTCGTTGATGGTCAGGAGGACAATGACATAGATTTTACATGGATTTGGCATCTCAACTACCCTAACAAGATAAAATTTCTCCTGCGGAGATGTTTTTACGATAGACTACCCTGTAGATCTTATCTTAGCCATATTGGTATGAATATTGTTGCTGTTTGTCCAATGTGCAAAACTGAGGATGAGACCATTATGCATACTTTCTTTAATTGTCCTATAACTGATGCATTCTGGAAGAATTTAGGTATTATTCACCTCTCAGCCAATGGTATAACTCACTGGCTTTTCATAATCAAAAACATAAATCTTACGTTGAATCACAAATATCTTACCTGGGAGGATCTTTTCCCTTTTGTTATCTGGAATATCTGGATGAATAGAAACAATAACCATCATAACAATACTAACTATGCTCTATCCTCTAAGATTGTTTTTCAGCAGGCAACAGAATACAAACTCCTCACGGTCAAGGAGTCAAACTCAAATATAAAAAAGAATGGCATATCCCCCCCCCCCCCCC